CTCAGAAGACATTTCAACTTGTTTGCCATCGCCGGCATCACTACTCTTTCGTTCCAGTTTTATACGCTTGGAGTTTGCCTAAAATTATTTATGATAAGTGATAAACTGAAGCCATTCTAAACATGAGCCGAATATTTACGATCACATGCTTTGGTACCGGACTTTCATCAAAAGAAATTTCCGCTTGCTTTCTATCGCCGGCATGACTCCTCTTTCGCTCCTGTTTTATACGCTTGGAGTTCTTGGAATTTGTCTACAATTATTTGTGATAGATGATAAGCTGAAGCCATTCTAAACATGAACCGAATATTTACGATCACATGCTCTGGTACCTGACTTTTGTCGAAAGAAATTTCGGCTTGCTTCCTATCGCCGGCATTGCTGGCCTTTCTCTCCAGTTTTATACGCTTGGAGTTCTTGGAATGCGCCTAAAATTATTTGTGATAGGTGAAAAAGACAATTCATTCTAAACGTTAACGCAATATTTACCATCTCATGATTTGGTACCAGACTTTCCTCAGAAGAAATGTGAACTTGCTTGCCATCGCCGGCATTACTGCTCTTTCGTTCCAGTTTTATACGCTTGGAGTTTGCCTAAAATTATTTATGATAAGTGATAAACGGAAGTCGTTCCAAACATGAAGACAATATTTACGATCTCATGATTCGGTACCAGACTTTCCTCAGAAGAAATTTTAACTGGCTTGCCACCGCCGGCATCACCGCTCTTTCTCTCGAGTTTTATGCGCTTGGAGTTTGCCTAAAATTATTTGATAATTATAAACAAAGGTCATTCTAATCATAACACAATGTTTACGATCTCATGTTTTGGTACCGGATTTTCGTCCAAAGAAATTCCAACTTGCTTTCTATCACCGTCATCGGTGTTGTTTCGCTCCAGTTTTATAAGCTTTGAGTCCTTAGAGTTTACCTAAAATTATTTGTGATGGGGGATAAACCTGAGTCGTTATAAACATGAATGCAATATTTACGTTCTGATTGTTTGGTACCGGACTTTCCTCAGAAGAAATTTCAATCTGTTCGACATCGAAGGCGTCACTGCTCTTTCCCTCCGATTTTATATGCTTGGAGTTCTTGCAGTTTGCCTAAAATTATTTGTGATAAGCGATAAACCGAAGTGGTTCCAAACATTAACACAATATTTACGTCCTCTTGCAGTGATACTCGTCTTTGTCTTTCCATGCTGGACGCATCATTCTGCTTGCCATTGAGTTTCTCACCACTGTCATGCTCCAGATGTGTAGGGTTTTTCATTGTTCTAACAGAAGAGCAGTTTGATCAATATGATTTACATAAAAATCATAATTTTTGCGGTGCGACACACGATTACTCTGCAACAACTGCTTTTATGATCAGACGGAGCCATTATCAGCAAGTATATCTTAACATCCAACAAACGAGACGAAGAAGCCTTTGCTGTAAATCGCCGGGTCATATAATTCGAACCAAGGAGAAAATATAACCAAATAAGTTTGAAATTAAACTCAATATTATCGTCTGATTTACGATAAAATTTGCTTAAGAAGGTATCAAAATACAGAAAGTTGCCTACATTTTTGTTGAAGACATCAGATAAATTCATTCTAAAAGTCCCGGTTATGCTGTGCATTTCTACCATAACTTGCCTTTTAATCTGCCGCGTCTCTCGATATTTTAAATGCAAGCGACGATAGGACGATAATATTAATAATTCAGTCGATACAGGACATCTGAACGCATCACTACTTTATGAAGTTAAACACGCGCATTGGATTATCGGTTTGATCTAGAAAGTAAGCACAAATGCAACACTGTATCAACGTACAAAGCAAATAAAACAACAAAAGTTGTCTGCCCTAAAGCCTCTGAAGCAGACTAAACAGGAGTATCATTAAATGCAGGGCTTACTTCATATTGATTTAAACAAAACACATGAATTTACAATCACAATGTAACTGCATATCACTGGTTAAGAAAACTAAAGTTATACGACTAACATACATGTAACCTGAGTATGCCATCATGCTATTCAACCTGAGAATTACAT